TGTCCCAAACTGAGGTCACTGGAGCAACCTCTGCTCCTTCTTTCTTGGTATTTAACAAAGGTCTTCCTGAAAACATCCACCTATCTAAACTATACTGACAAATGGTTTGTGCTGAGCTTGGGCTGGAGATGTAAGGGCATACGGCTACAGCAAGGACTGCCATGCCTACACTTCATAGGAGAATCAGAAAACCTGGAGGAACAGTGGTTCCGTCATTTGTCACACAGTCACCAGGAAATATAGGTTGAATGTCCCTTATTCAAGATGCTTGGAAGCAGAAGTATTTCAGATTTTGAATGTTTGGGGATTTTGGAATACTTACATATACGTGAAATACCTTGGGGATGGGACCCAGGTCTAAACATGAAATTCATATATACTTTATACACATGCCTGAAAGTAATTTTATATAAAGTTTTTAGTGTACCTGGGATTTGACTGTGACCCACATAAGGCCAGGTGTGGAATATTCCATTTGGAGTGTAATGTTGGTGCTCAAAATGCTTCAGATCTTGGAGCACTGGATTAAGAATGCTCAACCCACACTCATTTTAGAGTTCTTTTATTCAACAAGACTTAGGTGTTTTGTCCTCCAAAGAAGTTTTCCCTTAGTGTTTCAAAATGGTTTTGGATTAACTATGGAGAACAAAGGATTACTTATAAAATATTGGGAATGTTCTGGGTTGTTCTTAACCCTGTCCTCTACCTGGAGAGGTAACCACAGAGGAGAGAGGATGATTGAGATGTGTACAGATAGAGTTCTAATGATTCCTGTAGTTACTTAACCTCTCTTTGCTTCAGTTTCCTCAACTATAAAATAGAAACAAACAATAGTACTTCCTTTGAGATTATTGTAAAAACTGGAAATAAAACATCTAAAATAGGACTGGGGATAGACAGAGCTCAGTGATAGAGTGCTTGCCTAGTATCCAGGGTTCAATCCCTAGCACTGCAAAAAACAAAATGGAACAAACAATAACAAAAAAAAGGATGTAGAATAAAAGATACCTAGCCCAATGCTGGCATGCAGTAGGCACTTAATAAATGATGAGCCTGGTTCTTAGGCACACTTCTCTGACTGGAGGATTCCAACGTTAGGCTCTTTAAAGTAGTTTCTCCTGTAATAACTAGAAATAGTCTCTTGCTTGTAGACAAGACAAACCACACAGAGTAGTAGGAAAATGTACATTAGCCATAAGCACTAGGCTTAACTAGAGTTAAGTAACCAACTACTGTATCTCAGCTGCATTCTTTCAAAGGCTTTAAATGGAAGTGCATCCAACAGGCAGCATGCTGCACATCTTCTTATCTTGAACAATGATTAAAAGCTTCTGCTAAGAACTGAAGGTAGCCCTCAGGATTTCCCAAACTAAGGAACAGCGTGAAGACTGGAGAGTTTCCTGAACTAGGCGAGCATCGCTAAGTATTTGTCAACATTCACCTCCTCCATTTCCTCCCATTCCATATCCTGTTCATTTTACTAGCAAGTATCTCTTAAACCTACCCACTTCTCCCCAATACCACCACCATCAGCCAGTCCAATTTCTGTGTACTACTCTAAGAGCTTCATAACTGTTCTCCCTGCATCACTTGCTCAAGACCAATATGTCCACAGCCCAGCCCAAGAGCTTGATAGATAGCAGTTAGACATAAGCAGTAGCCACAGAGGAAGAAAATCATTGTAAATAAACTTCCCAACCCACAAATGACCAGTCTGTGAAGATCAAAGAAATCCAGGGGATATATCACAGGATGCTTTGAAATCTAATGACACTCAACCAAATCTTAACCCTAAACATCAGCTAGCCCAAGAACTGGGAGTTTCACACAGGTAATCTCTTTAAAAAGACAAAGATCCAGGCCCAAGAGCTGCACCCGAGGCATCAGATAGACCAGGAACTGAGCTGAACGTTTCACACAGGTAATCTCTATCAAATAGATAAAGGACTGAGAATTTCACGAGAGTAATTGAATTTGATAAGATAAAGACCCAGCCCAGGAATCCATTCTAGGGATCAGATGGACCTGGGGCTGAATATTTCTCAATAAATATTCCAGCTCCAAATGCTGATACCGTCATGTCACTCTAAAGATGACTCACTCTCAGGCTATTGAAAATGTTTTCCTTTCCTAGTAAACTTTGCTATCATTTTCACTATTTTTTGCATCTTGCTTTAGCAAGAGCCTCTTGTTCAACTGTTGATGGCTTGAAATTAGCCACGGTAGGAATAAGTTAGTCCTGGTTAACAGATTTCCAATCTGTTCTGCAGTCAGGATCGGCCTCCCTTCAACATTGTCCTCTCCTCCCTCTAAGCACCAAAAGAAAACCTTCACAGTTTAACTGCCTGCCTTTGCGCACAAGCCTCCCAGGTACTCCTCCAGTCCCAATGGTTTCAGTACCACCCACTTGAACAGCCACTTCCTTGGGGAAAGCCTCCCTACCCCCTAATATAAGGTCTCACTGCACTGGGTCTTCTCCTGAGAGGCACTTATCACAGCTGGGAATGTACACTTATAATTAGTTGATTGATGGCTCTTTTTCTTCTCCAGTCCATTTAAGTCACCATTCTACCTGTTAATGAATAATGATTTTGTGTACCAAACAAATGCATAACACAAGATTTTCATTATGAGGAAACAGAAAGCAATCAAAAGCCTGATCCACACCTGGTTGACTACGACCTGAGAGTCCTGAATAAAACTCCTCCACATAGACAACCTAGGAGGCATGCCAAATTAGTAAAGAAAAGGAACTCCATGGAGAAACAAATTCTCAGGGAATGAAGTAGTCCCTGAAAGGTTTATACAGGAGGTGGCCTGGAGCTGGTCCTGCAAGAACAGGCAGAATTTACATAAAGGAGAGGGAGATGGAGGCTGATCCAAGATGGGGCTCAACAGATCAAACTGTCAGAAGCCAACAGGAAACTAGACAGGCTGGGTGTGGACAGACCAGAGAGGTGCCTCAAATGGCAGGAGGAATAATCTGGCTTTGGGTTTTTTTTTTTTTAAATAAGCAAATTAGATAGGCGGGAGTGGCTCACACCTGTAATCCTAGCTACTCCAGAGGCAGAGATCAGGAGGATTTCGGTTCAAAGCCAGCCCAGAGAAATAGTTTGGGAGCCCCTACCTCAAAAAAACCCATCACCAAAAAAAGGGCTGGCAGAGACTCTCAAGTAGTAAGAGCGCCTGCCTAGTGAGTGTGAAACTCTGAGGTCAAACTCCAGCACCACAAAATAAATAAATAAATAAATGCAAATTAAGGCTTTGAAAAGGAGAAAGAACGGGGAAGTAGTAAATCTAGAGAATATACTGTATATACATGTATACACACACACATATTCTTAGGCCCATATCTAGAAAGCCAGAAATAAATTCCATCTGGCAATAGCTTTCCAAGCCCAGAAAGCAGACGGAGGCTATTCTGAGCTAGAGAAGAAAGACACAGGGTACATTTGGACACAACTCTTTTTGAAGGAAACTGTGATGTCTCTAGTTAAATGAACTCTATAAGCACTAGGCTGTCTGACAGCAGCCAAACCAGGTGTATATGAAGCTGTAGAATGATTTGGCCCTTCTGCTTTAATGCTAGGCCTATATTCTGACCAGAACAAATTTAAGGGACATAAATACATTTGTTTTTTGAGACAGGGTCTCACTCTGTAGCCCAGGCTGGCCCAGTTTGGAGATCCTCCTGCCTCTGCCTCCCACATACTGGGATTATAGGTGTGTATAACCGTGCCTAGCAAGGTAGTTATATTTTAAGGCACCCTTAGCTGTACAGCTTGCCGAAATCCTAGTTTCCAACGTTGATATGTGAAACCATCTACAGAACTGTGCTCTGCCCTCCAGCCCTCCCCACATCCCTCCAAGGGACCTACTATCAGCTCAGAACTGACAGGATTCAGGACATGGCCTACAATGTCCTCCAACTAAATGACTTGGAGGATGGCTGTCTGAAATGACCTTTGGACAAGGCTAGCCATCAGACTTGATGAGCCTCTCCACCCCCTGCAGCCAGGTTCCTGTGATGTGGCTGGCAGGGTGTTTTCCTCCTTAGTCCAGAAAGGTGATCAACAACCTTTAACCAAAATCCAGGTCCTCAAAGACTTTAGTGGGTCTCAATTTTGGGTCAGGAACTTAATAAAATGGCTAAAAACTATTTGGTGCAGAGGTCTCCAAACTTGGGTATATGTTCTCTGAGTGTTGCCCAGACTAGACTCCAAAACAATAACAAAAAGCTGAGCACTCTCTAAGGTCATTTATCAGAGGGTCACATGTCCTGGCTGGTACTCAGGTATCCTAAGCAGAGTGGGTAGTCCATAAGCAGGAGGGTGGATGGGGCCTACAGATGCTGCAAGGTACATGCTGGGCTTAGGCAGAATTACAGACTGTATTATTCACTTTTGGTACAATAACTCTCATATGGAGCACAAGAGACTTAAAGAGATTCCTGTGGAGAACCTCAGCACATATAGCACAAACAAACATAAATGTGGAAGAACTGATATTTCTACTGTAAGAAACTCAGGCACACATAGGACTAAAAACAGCGAGATCTACTCAGAGCCAAATCACTCCAAGATTACAAAAATTATTTGAAATACAGATTTTCATCCATTATCTTAACACTATGCCATTCTCATTTTCATGCATATCTGTATATTTTGTGTGTACAGTACTCCAAAAACTAGTGAGAAGACATCATAATTAATAGTTAAAATACCTTAAATTAATTTTTAGAATATTTATTATTCTCATCCTTTAAATTTTTCCATCTTTGTATTCTTTAGAACATTTATTGGTATATAGTGTATTACTGCATTATTGAATCTAATGTTGGTAAAGAGGAATGATCTAAAATACGTAATTGGGGCTGACGGCCTATTAAAGAAGTTTTGATGGCCAGCCTAGCAGCCCCAGGCCTCCCCAGGCCCCGCCTCGCTGTCCCACGTGACTAGGGCCAAGCCGCGCCCGCCCCGCCCCGCCGCCCCGGCTCCTACCTGGTTGTGCCAGCGGATGACATTTCCAAATCCCCCTGTCCCAAGTCGCTCTTTCATTTCCCAGGCCCCACATGTCTGGGTTGGTAGGGAAGGTGACCAGCTCATATTGACGCCCCGCTAACTCTGGAAGCAGCTGGGGGGAGGGGACAAAAGGTTAAGGGTAAGAAAAAGTGCAGCTCAGGGGATGGAGAAGGTAAGAGATGCCGTTGCTCTTCACTTCCAGGAAGAGAAGCTGATTTATTTTACTTTCAAGTGTTTTCTTTGACATTTGTCTAGCTTGTTGGGGGCTGGCTCTGAAAGTCAGCCGGGAAGAGCCCCACGGCGCACGCGCGTCCACGGGCTCGCAGCAGAGCCCCCCGGGCCGCCTCACGGTGACACCGCGGCGGACAAAGCCTGGGCCTGGGACTCCACACTTTCCCTGCCCGCCCGCGTGGGACTCACCTGTTGGGGTGTGGCAAAGCGGGGGGCTCTGGCACACCCTGAAGACTTGAAAATGCGGGAATCCCAACCCCGCCAGCCCAGCGCCACTTCCTCAAACACTTCCTGCCCTGACGTCACGCGGCACGTGGGCCGCGGCCGGACGGCTCTTAAAGGGGCCACACCGGGTGCGGCGACCCAGCCACTCCGGTACCTCGCGGGTCCCGACAGCCGGCAGTGGTCGCTGAGGTGAAAGAAGAGCCGATATGACACAAATACGCCCGTGTCCTCCTTACCGGTAACTCCAACCCGCAGCAGCAGCTGGGACCCGGGGATTTCCTCTGCCTGCTCTCCCAGGGTGAACTTGACACTTGCTGTTAACTAGGGGGAATTTCCCCGGCCCCCTAGGATTGATTTAGGGACTATTTACCAGAATTACCTTCCTGTCCGCGGTGCTCCCTTCGTCTGCAGGCTCCTTGGCTCCTTGTCAAGATTCATAAAATCACAGCAATGATCCTCAGAAATGACCATCTCCCCCTCCCCAAAAAAAAGAAAGGAAGAAAGAAAAGGAGAATTCTAGTAAAGTCAAACTAAAGGGGAGTTTCAGCTCGGTAATGCTGGGGAAATTGTAAGAGAGGCTCTCTGTCTTGAAAGTCATTGTTCATCTCCTGCCTACCTGGTATTATAATAAGTTCTTCTACCATTGAGTTTCTTAGTTCTGTGGTATTGTATTTTAGTAGCCAAAGGAGGGTGTGTGTGTGTTTGTATATGTCACTCAAACAGGAAAAACCTATTAAAGGAAATCTGAAGATGATAGTTTGTGAAGTTCTTACTTTGCACCAGGCACTATCCTATAGTCTACTTAAAATTTCATTATTGAAGTACCAGGACAACCCTACAAATTAGACAATACCACATTTTGATTGTCCCCACTTCGCAGATAGGAAAACTGATGCACAGCTAGCACAGAAGGAAAGCCTTCATCCCAGCAGAGCTACTAAATTGCATGGACTGACTCTCAAGCCCAGGCAGCTGGTTCTCAGACCCACATCCTCAGTACTTCTTTGAAGGTAGCATGGTAAGAAGTTCCAAGGGAGGCACAGGGCAAGTCACTTAACCACTCGCCCAAGCTTCCATTCGCTTTTAAAATAGGCAGTGAATCTGGGTTCAAAGCACAGGCAAAAAGTTTGCAAGCCCCCATCTCAACCAATAACAGCTGGGAGTGGTGGTGTATACCTGTCATCCCAGCTATGGGAGAAGCGTAGAGAGGACTGCAATCCCTGCCAGCCAAACATAAACATGAGGCCCTATTTGAAAAATAATTAAAGAAAAAAGAACTGGGGCATGGCTCAGGAGGTAGAGTACCTGCCTAGCAAGCACTGAATCCAACATCCAGTATCACCAAAAGGAAAAAAAAAATAGTAAGATAGTGCAATAGGGGACTTTCCTGCCTCAACAGAGCCCAGGGGTTGACGTTAACTTGTAGGAACATACTTGTCAACCCAAACATAGATTGGTGGTGTCAGGGCTGTGCTAAGCAAAACGACTGCTCAGTTTTGGGTTTTTTTTTTTTTTTTTTGCATTACTGGGGCATTACAGGGTGTCTCACCCTTGCTAAGCAGACACTCTACCACCTGAGCCACACTGCCAGCCCTTCTTTATTTCTTTTAGGTACTGCTGGAATTGAATCTAGGGTCTAGTGAATGCTAAGCACACACTCTACTACTGGTTTACATACCCAGTCCTTGCTCAGTATTTCTTGATTGCCCTGTAGTCACAACTAAATGGCACACAGCCTCAAAGCACAGAGAAAAAGGAACATAAGTTAATAATCATAAATCACTTAGAAGAATCTAAGTCACTGTAAGTATTCAATAAATGCATTTTTTAATGAAATACATTTATTGAACACCTGTATGTACTGGACAGTCTATTTCCTATATGTTGTCATAAAGTTTCTCTCTAATTCTGTCACCTCTGAAAAGCTCTGGCCTTGGGATATTTAGAGACAGCCACTGACGTACCAAAAGTTTACTCTGTACTAAAGTATTTTAAGAAGTTCTCATTTTGCTCAGATCAAAATAACTTGGTTTCCAACTGGACATAAATCTCTCTGATAAAGTTCTATATTAGTAGGGCTTTTTTTTTTTAAATTAATGATGGTCCAGGAAGGGGCCTCAGTATTTTATCATGTTCCAAGATATTTATCACCCTAAGCCCCACTTTCCCTCCAGATAAGGCCATGTCTACATCACTGCCTGCCTCTGGTTTCTATCTGGAGAGGTGAACAGGCTGTTGACAGATATTTTTCAAATGCAGCAGAAAAAAAAGTTCTTTTTTTTTTTTCATGCTTTGAGGCTGAGTGTGCTATTTAGCTGTGACTATAAGGTAATCAAATCTGAACAGGCTGGCACAGTAATAGGCATGAATCCAAAAAATATAACCTACATCAGAGGCACTTGGAATCTTCCTGGGGATATAAACATCCACAGAGAGTCATCGAAGGAGGACGCACAAAGACCAGGTAATGTAAAATCGTGCTGCAGAGGCAGTATGGCTCTAGTGATAAGGATAAGGTTTCTAAGCAAAATAAAATCTTGTTCCCAGAGGAAGTCAGAGATAACTATCCTCTTACTCAAGTCTTTTTATGTCATCAGTTGATTGAACTCTGCTCTCTCACCTAGTAAGAGCCAAGTAAAGCAGCACTTAGTTCCTGTGAGTGGGGAAAAGATATTTTCTGCACCATCTGGGAAGAGGGAGCTGACTCATAGTGGGAGAAGCCAATCTCAAAGATAGAAAGGCAATAAAACAGACCACTCTGAATGGGGAGGGCTTCCTAGCCCAAGTCAGGTCTGGTCCAGTGATTCCAGCAACTCTTTCATTCTTGTAAGTTTGTTTGATCCTGGCCCTGGAAAGAGAAGACTCAGCAAGTCAGGTCTTGCTCCTTCAACAAATACTCCTTTGCCAGGAGAGTTGGAAAAACTTGTTTAGTTGGAAGGCATGAAGAAATCTGCCTTTCTTTGGAGGGACTTGGTGGGGAAGGGTCTGGGCTGGTAGGGAGAATGAACTTTGGCAAGATTCTCCCAGCTCAGTTCAGAGCTATCTGCAGAACAGGAAGGAAAGGGAAAGTGGCCAGCTTCTATGTGGCATGGATAATGGTGAAACTTAAAGAAGAGTCAGGCCAGACAGCCCATCATGCCTCAAGCACCAGATGAAGCACTAAAAGCCAAGGGCTTGAGGCCCTGAGTCACCTTCCCTGAAGGAATGATAGCTAGAAGAGGAAATCACTTTGTAAACATATGTTTACACCCCTATGTTTTATTTCCAGTAAATTCAAACTGAAGAGGAAAGAGTCACCAAAGGCCAGCAGCCCATCCCTTGGCCTTGGTGGCAGGGAGACTGCTAATAAGGTGTGAGTGGGTGTCTGATTTTCCTACTTGGCTGCTATGCTTCTTAGCTCACCTCAGTTCTGAGTGCTGCTTTGGCTCAATGGGAGCACAGATTTTGGCTTTCTTAGTTCCTGTTACATTATAGGTATTCAATAAAAATTTACTGAATGAATAAGGGAATTGGCCAACAAAAAGACTTGTCGTTGTACGCTCCACATTTGGCTCTGCATGATCTCTGGAGTCTGGGGGATGTGTATTCTCATCCAGGCTCTCTCTGCCTTTTCTTGGATTCATCAATCTGGCAATTTAATGAACCTCACTGAGACTCAGATGTCTCTTCTGTAAAATAGGGGCTACTAAAGCTCGTCCTCATGGTAACTTACTTTAAGTGAGATAATACATGTAAAAGTACAGTCACATGTTTATTAAACCCTCTTTGAGCACTGGTTATTAATGTATAAATGATATTTATTTTTGTGGCACCAGGTGAACTGGGGATAGAACCCAAAGCCTTGAACATGAACCACTCTACCACTGAGCTACACCCCAGCCCTGTTGGGTTGGGTTTTTTTAATGCAAAAACCTGAAAATCAGCTGAGATTCCTGTCCTCTGTGATTCACGTGAAATTCATTTAAGGATCCATCCCCTCTGCCTGAAGACATGGCCCCCTGTCTTTCACCTGTCCTTTCTCTCCAAAGGTTTCATGTCAGAGGTGGTGGCCGGTGGCCAGTGGTATGTTTCTTGTTTGCCAGATTCCTAACTGTCCTTTCTCAGTGAGTTCTCCCTACCAAAACTGGTATTTTGTCACCCCAGTCTATTCTAATGTTTCATAGCATATCACTAATTCTGATGTCATATTCTTATCTCTTGCTTGCCTTTCCCAATACTGTCAGCATCCTGTCTATCTATTCTGTGCCCAAATCTCCAAGCATTGCCTCATGCTGCCAAACACAATAACAGCAGTTTTTGGCCACATAGTAGATGCTTACTATGGTTTGGATAAGTGTCTCCCAAAGGCTCATGCTTCAAAAGCTTGGCCCTCAGCCTGTGGCACTATTGTAGGCAATGGGGCCTTTAAGAGGTGGGGCCTAGTGAGGGTGTTCTATCGCCTGGCTTGCCTTTGAAGGGGTATTGGGACCTGGCACTTTCCTGTCTCTCCTTTTACTTCCTGGCCACAATGAGGTGAGCAACTTGGCTCCACCACTCACTCTCTGCCACGTTGCTCTGCCTTACCACAAGCCCAAAGCAACTGGGCCAAGCAACCATGGACTAAAACCTCTGAAACCATGAGCCAAAAAAAAAATGTTTTCCTTTATAAGTTTTTTACCTGGGGGTTTTGTCACAGTGATGCAAAGCTGACTAACATGGTGCTTTATAATTATTTATTAGAGAATTTGATGCACTTAAGGATCGTTTTGCATCCAAGGCTTGTGGCTCCTGTTCCTTCACCCAGATGTGGAAGTTATTCCCAACCCATGATTTCATCCAATGATCGTTCATAGAAATATTCATGGAAGGACTTGGTGTTTGACAGACTTAGCCAAAAGTTTGGAGATGTAGCATTGACTTCACAGTGCCATAAACCATTTAAAATTAAACATCAGACAACTTCTCTTCATAAGTACCCATATTCATGACCTAGTCCTCAGTTCCCATTCCAGTCCTTCCCGCTCCTGCTCCATTCCTCAGACCCCCAGTTCTTTAGCAAAGAACCAGATGTTCCCTACTTTCCTCTTAACTACAACTCTCCACCTCAGTTAGAGCCA